GAAGACAGCAATATGTCCTCCAAGTATTGGAACCATCATGAGCAATCTCATGAGATGAATTATGATCTCAGCCTCTCATTATAGCAATTGGAAGACAGCCTTCTGCTTGATTTAATGATAATGACCTCAACAACTACCAGTGATTTAGGCCAGGAAGCTGCCTAGATTCCTGCTTTTGACCCTGAAAAGAAGTCCAGAACCCTACTTATAGTTATTGCAACAATGATTCCACACCTTTAAGAGGAAAATGCCTCCTCCATGTGTGCGCTCTCTCTCTCTCTCTCTCTCTCAAATAAATAAAATCTTTTTTAAAAATGGGGTGCCAGGATGTCTCCGTTGGTTATGCGTCTGGCTCTTGGTTTTGGCTCACATCATGGTCTTGGGGTCACAGCCTGGGGGTCGTGGGATTGAGCCCTCCCCCCGTCAGGATCTGTGCAGAGTCTGCTTGTCCCTCTCCCTCCCCCTCTGTCCCTTCCCCCTCTAATAAATAAATAAAATCTTCAAAAAATAAAAAAAGAGGAAAATGAGCATTTTAGCCACTTCCCCAGATTCATGTGGGTTTTTTTTAAGATTTTATTTATTTATTTGACAGAGAGAGAGAGCCCACGAGCACAAGCAGGGAGAGCTGCAGGCAGAGGAAGAGGGAGAAGCAGGCTCCCCACTGAGGAGAGCTCAATGTGGGGCTTGATCCCAGACCCTGGGATCATGACCTGAGCCAAAGGCAGTTGCTCAACCAACTGAGCCACCCAGGTGCCCCAATCCCCAGATTCATGTTGTATACATTGCCTAAATCTTATGTTTACTTGTGCCTTTAGCCCCAGACATGGAATCAGCTATTTCTCCAAGGATCCTTGGTGTTCCTTTTAGTGGAAATAGTATTAGAGATCACAGTACTGGACATTAAAGTGTGTCATGGGGTCAAATTGTTCCTGGGCTATTTCAGTGGGACAGCGAAACAGGTTTTTCCTGTAAAAGAATATCATGTTGTTACTTCAAAAGGTCAGGGTTCCTAATAAAATTCTTGATTTCCTCTAAACTGAATATCTTATACTAATCCTTTTCCTGATAAAATTAATATAATTATTTATTTAGTTTATCCCACAATTTACATTAAAAATAATATAACATCAGGGTGCTGGGGTGGCTCAGTTAAGGGTCCAACTCTTGATTTTGGCTCTGGGCCAGGGTTGCGAGATCGAGCCCCATGTCAGGCTCTGTTAGGCTCCTTTGGGCTCCACTGGGCTCTGGGGCTCAGCGGGCTCTCCACTTGAGATTATCTCTCTCCCTCTGCCCTTTCCCCCAGTGGCATGTGCACATGTGCATGCTCTCTCTCTCTTTCTCTCTCAAAAATACATAAATAAATATTTAAAATAATACAGTATCAATACAATTATTAATTCTAAATATGGTTCAAAACTTTCTAGTGATTCCTTTTGGTTTTAGATGGTAACTGTTCTTAGCTCCTAATAGAAAGATCTCCTCTGTCTTGAAATAATGGGAAAAGCCTAGGAGAGTTTCCATATAAGAGATCTGTTTCCATACAATAGTTTATTTGTCATCACCCTCTGGTCCATCAGCAATGACTTAGTTATAAATACAAGGCTCATATGATTTCCAGCTAAAAATCAATTTATCTCCTTTTCTTTAATTTCTAGTGACATCAGAATCCTTATATTCAAGTATATATACTTTTAACTTTGTTAAATCCTGACCTCATCTTCAAAGATATTAAATTTTTGCATCTTTTCATGCCTGTAAGCTCTTGTCATTTTAAATGTGCAAAATTCTCTTATAAATTTAAAATATAATAAATTGTTATTCTTAAGTTTGCAACATATATATTGGAAAGACTCTCCCAATTAGTATTACATTGACCAGTACCAATCAAATTTTTAATTTTTCTTCAGGGAAATCAAGGAGGTAAGTAGTACTTGCTTTATAAATCCACCAATGAGAAAAAATAATAATAATACAGGCAATACTGCCTTTGAGGTTTTGTTTGGAAGATTCTTGGCTCCTAGGTGAAATTCATATTAGGATTCTTATTTTAATTGCTAAACATAAGGTAGAACAGCAAATTCTCAGAAATCATTGGATAAACACAAATATATATTACTTTAATATAATAAAAATTCAAATTCCATCCAGCCAACTTAAAATATAATATTATATAACCAGAGCATATAAAAGGGGGGGGGGGAAGCCACTGATTAGAAACTGAATCTTACCCAGAATATTCAAGAGGAAACTTTTTATACATTCATATAATTCCAAGATTAACTAAGTCCTGCCAGAATGATTTCCTAAAACACACCATCTTTTCCCATTACATCTTAATTGCAATTAAAATCCTCTGTTTTATCATATTTGCATAGGTTTTAGCTATTTGGGTTTTAATGCAGAAGTCCCAATGCTTGCCATGCCCCAAATTCCCAGTTTTGCACTCTGTAATAACTGCATGTATCAGTACGAATGAAACACAAAATCATGTTCTTTAAAATCAAGGTAAATCCATCGGCTCTCTAGCACTCAGGCCTTCAAACTACACTACCAGTTTTCATGAGTCTCCAGTGCAGGCAGTATATTGTGGACTCAGCATTCATAATCAAGTGAGCCAATACCTTATGATAAATGTCTCTTTTTCCCTCTCCCTCTCCTCCCCACCTCTCTCTCCATGTATATATTATATATTAGATATAAAATGAATCAAAGACCTAAACCTAAAAACAAAAACTATAAAACTCTTAGAAAAAATATAGGAGAAAAGCTTCATGACATCAGGTATGGCAATGTTTTTTCAAATACGACACTAAAAACACAGACAACAAAAGAAAACAGATAAATCAGACTTCATCAAAATATGTAAGTTTGTGCATCAAGAAGCACTCTCAACAAAATGAAAAGGCAACCCATGGAATGAGAGAAAATATGTGCTATATATATATATCTGATAAGGGATTAACATCCAGAATATATAGACTCCCACAACTCAGCAACAGTAACAAAAAAACAAATAATCCTATTAAAACATGGGTAAATCATAGGACTTGAATAGACATTTCTCCATAAGATATATACATATAGCCAATAAGCACATGAAAAGATGCTCAACATCATTAATCATTAGGGAAATGCAAATCAGATCACAGTGAGATACTACTTCAAACCCTCAGCATGGCTATTACCAAAAAGCAGAAAATAAGTGTTGTTAAGGATGTGAAAAAAATTGAACTCTTGTGCATTGTTGCTGGAAATATAAAATGGTGCAGCCATTATAGAAGAAACTATGGCATTTCCTCAAGAAATTGAACATAGAACTACCATATGATCCAGCATGCCCAAAGAATGGAAAGCAGAGATCTAAGCAGATAATTTGTACACCATGCTCATGGCAACATTATTCATAATAGCCAAAAGGTGGAAACAATTCAGTGTTCATTGATGGGTGAATAGATAAACAAAATGTGGTATGGACAGACATATAATGGAATATGATTCAGCCTTAAAAAGGAAGGAAATTCTGACACATGCCACAACATAGATGAATCTTTGAAAAGGACATTATGTTAAGTGAAATATGAGTCAGCCACAAAAGGACAAATATTGTCTGATTCACTTACATGAGGTACCTAGGGTCCTCAAATTCATCAAGACAGAGCGGAATGATGATTGCCAAGGGCTGGGGGGGAGAGGTGGTAGAAGGTATTGTTTAATGACTAGGGAGTTTCCTTTGGGAAGATGAAAATGTTCTGCAGATGGATGGTGGTGATGGTTGCCCAACAATGTGAATGTGCTTAATGCTACTAAAGTGTACACTTAAAAATGGTTAAGATGGTAATTTTTAGGATATATATATATATATATATAATCCAAAAAGCTAAAAAAAAAGTACTGACGACGCATTTTGGGAAGTGTGAGGAACGCATATGCTGTTCTGCAAAGTATAAATCAATGGACACCCAATAGGACCTCCAAACTAATTCCCTTCTCCTTCCCTTCCCAAAGCACTAGATTGTTCATTGCATTCAGGAATCAATTGGTTAGACAGAGGGGAAATCTGCAATTTTAAATTCTATGTAATGATGATTTATTGGATGCATTCCTATTATTGCTTTCCTTGCCCAAAGCTTTGTCTTAATGCATGTACACACACACACACACACACACACACACACACACCCCACATCCTTAAAACATTAAAACCTAAAGAAAACGGAGGGAATGGACACACACAAAAAAATGCCTTAAAAAGGCAACAGAAGGCAGCATCACGTCCACAGAGCTGCTGCTTTTACTCCCATGGTCCGTTTTAGCTTCCAGAAACTGTCCCCGCACCAATGCCATTTCATGGCTAAGGCTTTCATTGTGAACAAATGCTGGACTGGATGGGAATGGTCTTAAATTCCGAGGTTTTACGTCTACACAGCGTGGACTTGGTGCGTTCTCCAACTGGAAAGACAGCGGCCAGCCACGTCTCACAGTCCGTTTCTGGCTTCCGCAGCCCAAAAGGCAAACTGCTCCTCTCTCCTGCCTCTCTTTACTCCTCTCGCTCTCCCCGTCATCTCGCGCATTTTTCTTTCCCCTCTTTTCCCGCTTTCGCTCTTTCAAGTGATGAGCTCAAGCAAGCACAAGCCCAGCACAAACCGTGCCTTCCCCTCGGGAAAAACTCCCGCCTCAGCAGAGGCTAGAAACCGCGAGCGCCAAGACGCGGGGTGGCAACCGCCGCCCCCGCCCGCCCCCGGGAAAGCGCAGCCCACCAGCTGTGGCGTCGCGGCTCCCCCGCATCGTGGCCAGCGCCCGCGCCCCGCCGGGAACAACCTCCCTACTGTTGCTGCCGGCAGCGGGTGCCAGCCCCCGCCCGGGCGCGCCGCGGCCGCCCCGGGTGCCAGGGTCGGATCGGGTGACTGCGCGGGCGTGCGCCGGGCTGTGGGGCCGGCCTCCGGGCTGAAGGAGGCCCGCCCCCGCCGCGCCGCGCCGCGCCCCGCCCCGCCAGCCCGGGCGCCTAGCTCCCGCGCCCGCCGCCGCCGCTCGCCGCCGCTCGCCGCCGCTCGCCCGGCCCGCCCGCACGCTCGCGCTCCTCGCGCCGCCGCCATGGGTCGCGGAGCCGCACGAGCCCCGGCGCTGCGGCTCCTCGCGCTGGGCGCGCTGCTGTGCCCGGCGGCTGGCGCCTGGGAACTCACCATCCTGCACACCAACGACGTGCACAGCCGGCTGGAGCAGACGAGCGAGGACTCGAGCAAGTGTGTCAACGCCAGCCGCTGCGTGGGCGGCGTGGCGCGGCTCTTCACCAAGGTGCAGCAGATCCGCCGCACCGACCCGCACGTGCTGCTGCTCGACGCTGGCGACCAGTACCAGGGCACCATCTGGTTCACCGTGTACAAGGGCGCCGAGGTGGCGCACTTCATGAACGCCCTGCGCTACGATGCCATGGTAAGTGCGGCTGGCCGGGGAGGCCGGCGAGCCCCGGGCTAGGAGCTCCGAACCGAGAGGGCAGCCGGCGCGGAGGAGCAGCCGATGGCGTGGCACCGGGTGGCCGGCCTCGGACCGGGCTCAGGGCGATGTGGGAAGAAAGCGGGGCTCTGGCCGGCGTGCCAGGGAGATGCAGACATAGAAGTCCCTTGGATGATTGGTCTTAAACGGACTGATGTGGTTGCGCGGGTTGTTTTGGAGGAGAGGGACTCAGCCCTACCTCCGAGGGCGTCAGCTGGCGTGCGCTGGAGCCTTGGCAATTATCCAGGATCAGCGACCGAAGTAGAATGTTTTATTTCGGTTTTATTGGAGGGAAAACTCAGGGCCAAAGAGGTTGAGTACAATGTCCTGGTCACCAGCTCCAAAAGAGAGAGACACGATAAGAATGGATTCCAGATCCCTTACATGTCGCAGCTTGAGCCTGATTAAGCTCACAAGCTTGGGGTAGGGTCCTGGCTCCGCTGTCTTCTGTGTGCAAGTTATTTAGTCTCTCTGTGCCTCACTTCCAGCCTCTACAAGATGAGGATCTACCTCAGAGGGTTGCCTGATGCATAGCATGGCCTCTGTAAATGTTAGTTCTTTTTATTACCAGATACTTCTCTACAGGTTTTTTAAAAAGGAAGAAAGAAAGAAACTTCCAGAAAGAACGAAAATGCTGAAACACTGGGGGTTCAAAGGATTTTGGTAAAATCAGTTTGGCAGCACAGGTTTAGAGAGTCCAACTGAAGAGGTGAGGCACTTGAAACATGTGCAAGAGTTTAAGTCCAAGCTCGCAAATGCTCTATGAAAGGCAATGCCTTATTTGTTGGACTAAACTCTAGAAAATGAGCAGAGAGGAGCTATGCAGTAATAAATATGACCAAAACATATATATGTGGTTTTTTTTTTTCATCAAACCATCACCCAAGTTTAACCCCGTGTAAAACCCTAGAGTAAAGGGATTCTATGGAGAAACAGGGGACAAGAAATCTTAAGAGCTTTAGAAGAGGAAGAAGAGAGCACCCGTCCAGGGGGAAGGGAAGGAGAGGTGGGGTCCAGGCTGGGGTACAGAGGGCTAACAATACACTTAGTATGAAAACAGCCCAGAGGTTATTTTTCCCCTGGAAACTTGGAGAAGGGAGGACAGGAAAAGATGATAAGGTAGAGCTGTTTGGTTTTTTCCACCACCAAGAAAGCTCATCCTAGAGAGATGAGAGATGGGCAGAGGGAGTTCCTCTCCATTCTGATGGCTGCTTGTAAGGTTATTGGAGACACTGAAAGCATAGGGATTCAAACAAATCCCTATGCCTCTGAGTCCATGGGTGGGGGGAGTGGGGCTCACCAGCAGCTGTCTGGACTGCGCAGAAGAATCGGGGGGCGGGTCTCAAGAACCCTGTATGGTCTCTTATCATCGGTATCTCCATAGCCCAACCTGCCTGATGCTTTGTGTGGGATAATAACAGAATAAATATTTACTGAATTGAATCGTTACTAGCTTACATCTCCATTTCCTCCCAGAAGGGTAAAATAAACATCATGTGAGTTTGTTTTGATTTCACATATAAATCACCACTCTTAAACTTTTCTCTTTGTGATACCCTTTTCTCCATAGCTATGTGAACTCCTTTTGGTGAGAAAAAAAAAATGGAGAATTCCTAGTTTTCCCTAATACTAATGTTTTCCTCTTTAAGTCAAATGGAGCCCATGATGTTAATTATCCTATCAAGTGTTTATGATAGGACTCTGGGTGAGGCTGGAGCAATTTGCTGCAAGTTGCAGAGCGTCACCACTGGGAAGTATTTAGAATGCTTTTTGTTGGCTGGAGTAATTTTCTTTCAAGTTTCACTCAAAATAATTGGACTGGGGCCTGAGGAAAAATAGGCTACTTTATAATGTTGACAGGAGGTAAAGAGGGGGAGTCTCATGGCCACGTTCCTGATAGTATCTCATCATCTGTGCTCTTCTGGGGTTTGACAAACATGATTTGACCTGCGTAGAATCCTAGTCGTGTTATGCCTTAGCGTGTGATAAAGCTCTGCTGTATTCTTGTTTTACAGAGATTTTTTATTGTCATTTTGCTTATAGTATTCTAAGCTCAGGGAATTTATTGTTGTTCTGCTATAAATATTGGCCCCCTCCATCCACTCGCTCACCACATCTTCAATTCCAGGGAGCTGGAGATTCTGGTTAGGGTGGAAAACAGTTGTCGAGGGGCATCTCCAGTTCTCTAGAAACTGGACTTGGTTAGAGGAGCTACATCTAAGGCCTCAAGGTTATAGAGGGTAAAGAGGAAGCTACTAGAATCTAGCTTCACCCCAGGAGCCTTGGAGGAGGTGTAGACTTTCTAGACCTGCATGTCCCAGCGAGCGCTGCCGGAGCAGTTCTGATGCCTCCAGAGGCCCCAGGGCCAGCCCGGAGACCCCCTAGACCCAGCTGCCAGGCAGGGAATTGTAGAGGGAGAATTTCAGAAGCCACTAGTTGGTATAACTGTCTTGGTGGAAGGATGAGTGTCCCCTAAGGTGTGAGGAGGACAGCACAGAGGCACTCACAGTGTGAGCCAGCCCGGTTCCTTTCTCTGACTGGGAAACAAGAGGGATAACCCCCACCCTGCTGTGTAGGATTCTTGTGAGCAGTGCATAACATAACAAATGTAAAAATCCCTGGCACCCTGCTGGATCATAGGAAGTGCTCAGTAAAGGTTAGTTCTTGGTGCCCTGCCAGGGGTAAAAAAAGAAGAAGAAGAAAAAGAAGAAGGCTGTGAGGAAGGGAAGGTTTGGGTTTTACAGAGTCAGTTGATCTGATTCTGACTGCCTGGCATACTCTACCCACCTCATCTGCCCCCTCCAACATCTTTTCTAAGCCCCATTGTGTAAACAATTTTTTTTTTTAAGAGTTTTTTTATTTATTTGAGAGAGAGAGAGACAGCCAGAGAGGAAAAACAAGCAGGGGGAGTGGGAGAGGGAGAAGCAGGCTTCCCACCGAGCAGGGAGCCTGATGCGGGGCTCAATCCCAGGACCCTGGGATCATGACCTGAGCCGAAGGCAGACGCTTAATGACTGAGCCACCCAGGCACGCCTGTGTAAACTATTCTTAATGCTTACTAATGGAGTGGATTGTGAAAACCGCTGAGAGCACAGAGTTTGAGAGATTTGTTTATAGAGGTGGGATTCCCACCATTGGGGCGCGCTGGGAGGAAGTGAGCTTCGGGGAGAAGGGCAGCCTCCTTTGTAGCTGGCTCTTGCCCCTGAGCCCACTTTCTGTCAGCAAACCGCTCCTTGGTGCTTGAGCCAGCAGGCAGGGTGGGGACTCTGGTCCCTGCCTTAACTCACCCCGGGGGTGCCCCCAATCAGATCACCTTTCATCAACATTCTCCACCTCCTGCGTGAGCAACCACTGTTTGATGTTCCTGTTTGTGTGTACTTGCAGAACTTTTATCATAGTTAAGGGTCTTATGTTTTTAAATTATGTAACTCGTTCTATTGCTCAGATCATTCTGTTTTGTCCTCAACTGGTTGGGTTTTCTTTTTTCTTTTTTCTTTTTTTTTTTTTTTTGAAGGTAGTTGACACAAAATGTTACATTAGTTTCAAGTGTACAACAATGTGGTTGGACAATAGGCTGTGCTCACCTCAAGTGTAGCTGCCCTGTGTCCCCGCACAGCGTGCAACGGTGTCACTGACTGAACTCATCCTGGGCCTTTTATTCCAGAGACTTCTTCCTTCCGTAACTGGAAGCCTGTATTTCCCACTGCCCCCTCACGCATTTTGCCCAACCCCACACCCTTTCCCTCCGGCCACGGTTAGCTTATTCTCTGTATTTATAGTTTGATTCTGCTTTTTAAGCGGGTTATTTTCATGCTTGTCCGCATCCGTGCTGGCTCTGTGGGTATACCCTGCATCATGCCGCACAGAGACCTCCACAGATTTTACCCTCCTCTCCCCCGGTGATGGTTTAGGACACACAAGTGCACTGCTCCGAATGGCTTCCTGCTCTTCCGGCCTGGGAGGCTTTCTTTGGGATCCATAGGCAAGGGCAGAATTGCTGGTCTCGGGGATGGGTATCCTTACTTTGACTGAGGACTGCCTGAGTGACAGGAGTGCTCTGTTCTCCCCAGGCTCCACACCCACACAGATGTGAAGCCCCCAATCCTTACCCATAGGCTGCAGCATTATCCAGCTTTCCAGTAGGTATGAAATGTCCTCTCATTATGTGATCTTCTATTTTTCTAATAACTGGTGACTTTGGCATATTTACTTTTTGCATTTTGTCTTCCCTAATTGCATGTTCGCAACCTTTCCCCTTTAAAAAAAAAAAATAGGTTTAGGGGCACCTGGGTGCCTCAGTCGCTTGAGTGTCCGACTCTTGGTTTCTGCTCAGGTCATGATCTCAGGGTCCTGGGATGGAGGCCCACCCCCCCAGTGGGGCTCTGCACTCAGCAGGGAGTCTACTGGAGACTCTCTCTCCCTCTACCACTCCCCCCACTTGCGTGCTGGCACTCACTCTCTAAATAAATAAATAAATAAATGGGGGGACGCCTGGGTGGCTCAGTCAATTAAGCATCCGACTCTTGGTTTTGGCTCAGGTCATGATCTCCTGGTTGGGAGATGGAGACCCATGTAGGGCTTCTCACTCAGTGCGGAGTCTGCTTCCCCCTGCCCCTCCCCCGACATGCACTTGCATGTGCGCGTGCACTCTCTCTCTCTAAAATAAATAAATACATCTTTAAATAAATAATTAAGTTTACTCTATTTTTCATGATTTTCTAGGAGTTCTAGATATTGATCTGTGATCAATTTTAGAAATTGCAAATATCTTCTGAGTATGTTAAATCTATTAACTCAATCCATAGTGTCTTTCATTGAATAGAAATCCTTCATTTGGTATAATCAAATTACTCTTTTTTTTTTTGCCTTGTGATTTGTGCTTTTGAAAATTTATATAAGAGTTTATTAATTTGAAGCTTATCATCCCCAGTACTCACCAC